CGAAGGTGTAATCGGCCGCGTCGAAGATGCTGCCCGCCGCCAACCCCCCGGCTCCGCCCGCCACCTCCGCGACGCCCTTCACCTTGGCGTTCACCGAGCTGATGACCGGCTCCTTCTGCTGGTACAGCTTGTCGCTCAGCAGCGCGAAGCTGGGGGCAGGTGGGGAGGCCATCAGTGGCTCCTGCGCCAAGGGACCAAGCGAGGCCCTGGCCGTGGTGGGTTCGAGCACAGGCGCTCGCTCATGGCTGCCTCCGATCAAAGCCTGGCTCTGCTGGGTGACTGATTGCCTCCCCCCTTCTCTCTCTCTCTCATTGTTTATTTTTAAACAGTTGTACAAAGAGGTTTGACTCCAACAAGTTAGGTTATGAGTGCAGTGCACCGTGCTCGCCGTCGCCTGTCCCCCGCCCTCCCCCACCGTCCCGACCCCCAAGTGGCATCCAGCTCCTCCATAATGTATGTTGCATATAGTAACTGTATTTGCCCCTCCTCTCTCCAGCCATCTGAAAAAATTCTGTCTGTTGAGGGAGAGAAGCCATACACAAAACATTATAGTTGCCTGTCATCCTGGCTACTCAGGTGGCTGAGAGCCAAGGATCACGGTTCAAGGCCAGCCCAGGCAGAAGAGTCCCCATGAGACTTTTTTTGGTCCGTCGTGGGGCTTGAACTCTGGGCCTAGGCACTGTCCCTCAGCTCTTCAGCTCAAAGTGAATATTCTACCACTTGAACCACAGCACCCTTTCTGTTTTCTGGTGGCTAGAGTTACAGGCAAGAGCCATCAGCGCCGGGCCAATGAACCACTCAAAAACCAGAAGTGGTGCTGCAGCTCAAGTGGTGGAGCACTAGCCTTGAGCACAAAGAGGCTCAGGGATGGTGCTCAGGCCCTGAGTTCAAGTTCTACAACCACCACCAACAACAAAAAGTTATAGTAGCCAGGCACCAGTGGCTCACGCCTGTAATCCTAGCTACTCAGGAGGCTGAGATCTGAGGATCGAGGTTCAAAGCCAGCCCGGGCAGGAAAATCCGTGAGACTCTTATCTCCAATAAACTATGAGAATACCGGAAGTGGCACTGTAGCTCAAGTGGTAGAGCTCTCGCCTTGAGCTGAAGAGCTGAGGGACAGTGCCCAGGCCCAGAGTTCCAGCCCTACAACCGACCAAAAAAAAGTTATAGTATACAGTAAAGAAAAAATGTTATAGTATATGATGGCATTTATATGAAATATCCAGAATAGGCAAAGCCATAGAGTCAGGGAGATTGCTGGTCGAGGAAAGAAAGATGCAAACACTTCAGAACTAGATAGAAGTGATTTCATATAACTATATTAAATGCTACTAGATTGTTCTCTTTTGAAATGATTAATTTTATATTCTATGAATTTCACCTTAATAAAGGAGGGTAAGATACATGTTTACAGACATGGCCATATGCCTATCCAACTATCAGATCAGATCAAGGAATGACCATCACCAAGTTCAGGGTACTGATTACACCAAGTTCAGGGTACTATTTACCAAGGGAAGAGGGTGATGAGATGAAGGAGAGGTTTGCAGGGCACAAAACTTGATTAGTTGCCAGACTCCAGTGGCTCACACCTATAATCCTAGCTGCTTGGGAGGCTGAGATCTGAGGACTGCAATTCAAAGCCAGCCTGGGCAGGAAAGTCTATGAAACTCTTCTCTCCAACCAACTGCCAAAAAATTCAAAAGTGGAGCTGTGACTAATGGTAGAGCATTAGCCTTGGTCATAAAAGCTCAGGAACAGTACCTAGGCCCAGAGTTCAAGCCCCAGGACCCGCAAAAAAAAAAAAAAAGACAACTTCAATCATCAATCTTATAACACACATATAATACATGCAGCATTCTCTATCCAAAGCACTGGATCTGTTTGACCTACCATTTGAAAAATTTGTAAACACGCAGCATGTTATAGCTGAGCCTTAATGGAGTCCAGCCTCCCAGAGCCGCACAAGCTGCCTTCACAGACTAAAGAACACATACAGCTTAGCAGTAGGACACTTGCAGGGCATGCACAAGGCCCTGGGTTCAAGGAAAAGATGGCTGGGAGGATGGAGGTGGGGGGGAGAGGGGGGAGAAGGAGGGGGGTAGGAGCATGCATAAGAGAGGTTGCTGTGTCAGAAAGAACATTCTAGTGATGAGCCCAGCGGTGCAGTCTTGACCTTGCCTGGTAACTCAAACAAGCCATGTCACCATTGCAGGCCCTAGGTTTAGTCCGGACAGGAGGTGATAACTCCTTGGTTATCAGCTCTAAGCAGGACAAGGGAATTCTGGAGTTGAGGATCAAGCTGGGCCTGAGAGACATGGCTGGGGTCCCAGGGAGGGGAGAGCTGGAGGGCTTGGGCAGGTAGAAGGGAGGTGGTGTGGTCAGGCTCAGGTGCATGGGGAGATGGCGGAGAGGCGAGGCAGGGGTAGGAGAGGGGAGACCAGGCCCGGGCCCGCTCACCAGATGTAGAAGCAGGTGCCCACCAGGAAAATGTTCTTCACAGTGCCGATCCACACACTGTGGATACGAAGAACCCTCACGGTGGAGTGCCCACACAGCGGCCTCCCTGCCAGCATGGTGCCAGGTGTGCAGCTCCCTGGCATGGAGGCCTCTGTGCCAAGCCCAACGGACTCTGAGCAAAGGTAACACTAGGGTGAAAGTCAGGAGAGCCCTGAAAGCAAACTGACTCCACAGCTGTGCACCCCACATCCAGCCTGGGGCCTAACCACAGGGGCTCCCTGGATCTGTGTCCTCATCACGCACTCCGGTCAATGGCCATGCACATTTTTGTCAAACCACAGAAGATGAAACCATTCATTCTACGTTCTCACCAACAAATGCACACTGCCTTTTAAGAGGGCCTTGACAAACTAGAGCGAGACCGGGGGCCTAGCTGAGGGTCTCAGTTGTATGCTGATGGCCCTAGTCACGGGGGGGGGGGGCACGTGGAGAAAAGGGGCAAGGAGGGGCTGGGAAGGTAGCTTAGTGGTAGAGTGCTTGCCTTGCATGCATGAGGCCCTGGGTTCGATTCCTCAGCACCACATAAACAGAAAAAGCCGGAAGTGCCACTGTGGCTTAAGTGGTAGAGCGCTAGTCTTGAGCTGAAGAGCTGAGGGATAGCACCCAGGCCCAGAGTTCAGGCCGCACGACTGACCAAAAAATAAGAAAAAACAAAAGAAAAGGGGCGAGGACCAGCAGTGTGACACTATCTGAAGTAGGAGAAGGACACAGGGCACAGCTGTAACTAAGGCAAAGAAGGCAGATTCTGGCTCTGTAAGAAAGAAGAGTCTAAATCTAGGCACTGATGGCTCACACCTGTTATCTAGCTGCTCAGGAAGCTGAGATTTGGAGGATCACAGTTGAAACCTAGCCCAGACACATAAGTCCACAAGACTCAGATGTTTGAAGCTAACTAGAACATGTAAGTCTATAAGACTCTAAAGGTAGAGGGCCAGCTGAACAAGTGAGCCCCAGTACTGAGGGGTGGGGGGAAGGATGGAAAGAAGAAAGAAAGGAAAAGAAAAGAGAAAGAAGTATCTAACCCAGTGCCAGTGGCTCACATCTGTTATCCTAGCTACTCAGGAGGCTGAGATCTAAAGATGGAAGTTCAAAGCCAGCAGCTAAATCCATGAGATTTTTTTTTTTTTGCCAGTCCTGGGGCTTGAACTCAGGGCCTGGGCACTATCCCTGAGCTGCTTTTGCTTGAGGCTAGTGTTCTACCTCTTGAGCCACAGCACCACTTCTGGCTTTTCCTATGTGTGTGGAATTGAACCCAGAGCTTCATGCATGTTAGGCAAGCACTAAGCCTACCATTAAGCCACCTTCCCAGCCCTCCAGGAGATTCTTATCTCCAATTAACCACCAAAAAAGCTAGAAATAGAGCTATGGCTCAAATGGTAGTAGAGTGCCAGCCTTGAACAAAAAAAAGGGACAGTTTCCAGGCCCAGAATATGCAAGCACTAGGATTCACTCTCTCTCTTTCTCTCTCTGTCTCTCTCTCTCTCTCACTCACATACACACACACACACACACATACACACACACAGCTCTAACAGGGCAGTCCCAGGACGAACAAGCTTGGCTGAGATGGCTGGTTGGTGGCAATGAAGACTAGTGATGATGATGATGAGATCCCTATGCACCCCATCCACTCCCCCACCCCCTCCTGGCTTCTTTTCCATCTGCATTTAAGCATCTTGAAAAGAAAGCTTCCCTCCATCCATCCTCCACACTTGGTGCCTCTCTCCTCCTACAGCCCAGCTCTAAGAGAGTGAGCCACGCATCCCTTCCGCATCCCTTCACACCTCCACCCTCTCCAGTCTGGCTCCCGCCCCCTCCAGCACCTCCCCAGCCAAGTCCTTGTCACTAAATCCAGGCCCACCTGGGACCAACTCTTCCTGCTCTCACCGTGCATGCTTCCCTCCATGCATGCCCTCCCCTCCCCTCCCCTCCCCTCCAGAACCCACAGTCCATGACTTCTGTGACTCACTGATTTATTTTACTTTATTTATTTATTTTGGGGCTGGTCCTAGGGCTTGAACTCAGGGCCTGGGTGCTGTCCCTGAGCTTCTTTTGTGCAAGGCTAGTGTTGTACTACTTAAGCCACCGCTCCACTTCCAGCCTTTTGTGGTTAATTGGAAATAAGAGTCTCATAGACTTTGCTGACCAGACTGGATTCAAACCACGAGCCTTAGACCTGAGCCTCCTGAGTGGGTCAGGATTACAGGTGTGAGCCACCAGCACCTGGTTCACCACTGCTTTTTGTGTGTGAGCAGTACTGGGGCTTGAACTCGGAGCCTTGAATTCTCCCTTAGCTTTTCCACTAGAGGCTAGTGCTCTATTATTTGAGCTACACCTCCACTTTTGGCTTTTTGCTGGTTAATTGTAGATAAGAGTCTCACTAGCTTTTCTTCCTAGGCTGGTTTCAAACTTCTGTCCTCAGATCTCAGTCTCCTTAGTAGTTAGGGTCACAGAAGTGAGTCACCAGCACCTGGCTTTTAGACAGGGTTTCTTGTTTCCAGCATCAGAACCTACTCTGTTGAGTGTAAGAAAAAAGATGTCTGCCGGGTGCCAGTGGCTCAGGCCTGTAATCCTAGCTATTCAGGAGACTGAGAACTGAGGATCATGCTTCGAAGCCAGCCTAGGAAGAAAAGCCTCCGTGAGACTCTTATCTCCAATTAATCTCCACTCAAAAATCAGAAATGGTGCTGTGGCTCAAATGGTAAAGCCTTGAGCACAAAGAGGCTCAGGGATAGCGCCTAGTCCCTGAGTTCCCTGACAAAAGAAAAAGATGTCTTAAAAAAGGCAAATCTACAGAGAGACTCTCATCTCCAATTAACCACCCATATCTGGAATTGGAGCTGTGGCTCGGGTGGCAGAGTACACATCTTGAACAAAAGAGCCATAGGAGAAGTCTTGAGTCCAAGCTCCAGTCAGTACAGGCACAGAAAAACAGACAGAAGACAGACAGGTATTAAATAGGTAGATAGCTAGAATAGGTAGACTAAATACATATATAGCCTAGATAGATAGATCCATAGATAAATAGACAGACAGACCAGCAGACAGACAAATAGCTACCAGTTATAGAGGCCTCAGTGCATGCTCTCCAGCCATCGTGATGCAGGGTTTTCACACCTTTTTTTTTTGGGGGGGGGTCCGGTTGTGGGTGGGGCTTGAACTCTGGGCCTGGGCGCTGTCCCTCAGCTCTTCAGCTCAAGGCTAGCGCTCTACCACTTGAGCCACAGCGCCACTTCCGGCTTTTTTCTTTTTGCTTATGTGGTGCTGAGGAATTGAACCCAGGGCCTCAGGCATGCAAGGCAAGCGCTCTACCACTGAGCCACCTTCCCAGCCCCGGTTTTCACACCTTTTCTTCTGTAATTGCAGAAGCTGAGGCTCCGCAGGTCACGTGACTTGGCCAGGATTATCAAATAGGTTGCTCTAAATCTGAGTCACCATGGGGCTCCCTGGTGAGCATGGCCACCATCACTGCCCAGAGGGAGGCCCTCTTTTGCAGAATCAAAACCACAGTGGCAGACCCCTTCACACCCACTAAGTTGGCGATGATTTCAAAAAAAGCCACAGTAACAAGTGTTGGTGGTGATGGGGAGACCCAGAGCCCTCACACTCTGCTGATGAACGTGGAAAACAGCCCGGCCGATCCCCTGAAGCGGACATGGGTCCCCACTCGGAGGCATAGACCAGTCACCCACAGGAAACCTGCACACGGGTGCTACACAGCACTGCTCCTAAGAGTCCCAAGGAGAGACAACTGTGCTGTTATCAGTAGATGAACAGACATATAAAAGTGGTCTTTCCATACAAAACACTAATATTTATCAACTTTCGATGGTAGGCGCCATGCCTACCATGGTGGCCACGGGTGGCCAATCGCACGCCCCCCGTGGCGGCGACGACCCATTCGAACGTCTGCCCTAACAAAACACTAATATTCAGACATTTAAAAAGTATAAAGCAGAGCTACATGCGTGGTTCAAGTGGTAGAGCACCTGCCTAGCAAGTGCCAGGGCCAGAACAGAACCCAGTACTGTTCATTCATGCTCCAACATGAACGAACATTGAGAACAGAAAGACCATAGAGTGTATCATTCCACCCACATGACACGTCCACAGCAAGTGACTGTGTAGCCTGAAGCAGTTTCCTAGGGAGGTCTAGGATGCTGGCTAAGAGAGGGATTGGAGGGGGGTGCGTGTGTGGTTCCATGCTTGAGTCCTGTCTCCAGCCATTTTTTTGCTTTAGTTAACTTGCAGGTAGGGTTTTGCTTTTTTCCCCAGGGCCAGCCTTGAATCTAGATCCTCACACTCTTGTCTCCTATGTAGCAGGGATCAAACACATGCACCACTGTACCTGGCTTCTTTCTTTCTTTCTTTTTCATTAAAAAAATATTTTATTGTAAAGATGCTGTACAGAGGGGTTGCAGTTACATGAGTAAGGTAATAAGTACATTTCTTGTCAAGCATGGTTACCCCCTTCTAGTATCCTTTCCCTCCACGACCTCCCTTACTCTCCCCCACCCCCGTGGCTTGTTTCTTGAGGTGAAGTCTTGATTAACTTTTCACCCAGGCTAGACTTGAACCATAATTCTCCCATCTCCACCACCCAAATAGCAGGAATTATAGGAATGAGTCACTGTACTGAGCCCATCAGGATTCTTTTGGGGTTAGTATAAATTTCCTAAAATTGCTTGTGGTGAGAGTTAAACAGCTCTGTAAACACACTAGAACCATTTTTAAATAGAAAATTATAGTGCATGAATTACATCTCAATATTCTGCTGAAAACACAAGAAACCAGGGAGGCTCTTTCCTGACATTGGAGAGGTTCTAAAATGATGTTGACAAGCTTGGTCCTGTTCTTCTCCCCTCCAGTTGTCAGCAGGTGCGCCCTGGAATGCTGGCGTCCTCCTTGGGATCCCATCCAGGTCGGAGCCCAGAGCTTCCCACCTGCGGCAGGCCTGCCCGGCCCTGCTCATCCCACAGGCCCCGGCTAGAGCCCAGCCGTGCTGCCCTGAGCACCTCTCACATTTGGGAACCACATGAATTCAGGATGTGCAGCCACAGCCACAGCCCGGGATTTTTTTCTGTGCATCCAGTGGCGCAAAGATTAGCCCAGCCCCTACCCCACTTACCTAATGTAGAAAAGAACGATCATATGCAGGAACCACTTAATGGTGCCATAATTGGTGCTCTGGATCTGAGTGACTTTGTTTGTCTCATACTGGAAAACCTCGTTCCAGCAGCTGCTGCAGGCAGGCATGCTGAGAGATTCACTTCCTGCTCCGGGCTGGTCCTGGGTTCCACCCTCCCCCGCCAGGCCGCAGCTGGTCCACCCAGGAAAGGCAAAAGGAAACCCCACCGGTCCCTTGCAGGGGCCAGTAACGTTGAGTTCCTCCGATGGCTGCCGTGGGGGCAGGCCCTGGCAGCTGCCGCAGATGTGACTGGCATAAACAAGAAGAGCCAAGTGTCACAGGCCGGGCGGGCATATGACCCACCCCCGCCTGCCTCCCCCAGACAAAGATGGTGTTCAGAAGACGGGCATTTTTAGAATTCTCCCTTTCCCCTCTTGCATTCGAGTTTTGTAATTCATTTCATTGGAGCGAAAGGAGTAGCTTTTCAAATGTCATGAGACCCAATACTCCCATTGTGATTCAGAAAAGGGTCTAGATCTTTCCACTGCCTCAAGACGCTCAGATTGACTGGTTCATTTCTACAGCCCTCTATTCAGCCCCCATTTATAGGAGCACTGGGTGACTGACAGGATCCCTTCTCTGCCTCCCTTCCCTGACAATTTTCTGGTCTTCAGATGGGGACAGGGAATCCTAGGGTGTAGAGTTTAGAGTGTGGCTCAAGTGCTGGAGCACCTGTGTTCAAACCCTTCATCTTTAGAAAGAAAGAAAGAAAAGAAAAGACAGGGCGACTCCTAAAGACCCACAATGACACAACAGAATTTAGACTTTCAGGGAAGATGGGAATGCAACTCATGGTGTGGATGACAAATTCCTCAAAGGCTCACAGAGCATGAGGAAGAGACAAATAGAAATCATGGGAAAGCTGATGGTCTCCCGGGCACACTAGACCTAGCAGAGGAAAGAACTTTCTGAGCTTGTTCTATGGCGCAGACAGCTTGATTTCTATCCTGGGTCTTCCTCCTGACCTTCAAGGTTCTGCTCTGCTCTGCTCTGTTTTGGTCAGCCCAGATCACCAAGAACAAAGCCACAGGTCAACAATATTGGCTTCTTGACCATCCAGTGAGGGAGACCACCCGGCCCTGGAGCCTAGGACATCAAACACGGGAGGAGATGGGGTCCTTGTAGGATTCTGAGGAAGGTGGCATTGAGATGAAATCAAAATAAAATCAAGCTTTGATAAGCTTAAAGGAAAGCAGTCCTGTGTCAGCAGTGGACTTCAAATACGGATTGTAAAAGAGAGCCAGGACTCTGTTTTCTTAGAAGCAATCGCGCAAAGATGATTCTATCTAGAAGCCTTTATCAGAGGCTCTGCCCTGGGTTAAGGTGCCCTGGATCTTTCAAGGAGCAGGGGAACGTTTGATTCTTAGTCATGTAATTGCAAGTGGGGGAGTTCCTGGTTCTCTGTTGTTTTAGAGGGCAGTGCTATTTGGCAGCCAGATGCATCCCCTCCTGTTATTCCAGCCTGGTAAATGGCCCAGTAGACTTTTGCTTTTCCAGTCTGAGCTCATTTGTATTTCTGGTTCATCGGGGCTCTGGCCTCTCCCTGCTCGGATGCTTGTTGGAGAGGCTGCTGGGTACCCATCCTCCTCCTCCTCCGGGCAGTGGGAAAGGCTTCTCTCTGTGGCCCGCCCCAGCAGCCCACTGTCTCCGAATTCTGCCCTCATCCTTCTTTGTAACTGGTCCCATCACCCGTGATGACTGGGCACCGCTGCCTTCCTGCCAGGGCTGGGCGTGACCCGGAAGTCCACGTGTAAGGAGGAGGGGATGGTCAGGATCCCACTTGGGGCCGGGAGGACTGACGGTTAGAACTGACGGGCTCAGCCCTGGCATTACATACAGCAGCCCCTCCTCTCCGCCCAGACCCACCTGAACTCCCATTACCTCTCTTCCGGTCCCTCAGACCCGGCTGCTGCCTGGCTGGGGATATGGCTCCTCTAATACACCGTCTGAGCCTCTTCCTCCGGTGCTGGCTGCCTCTGCGCGGTCCCCGGGGATGAGGGATGGGGGTGGGACCCTCCCCCACTGCCACCCTCCCCCAATGCCACCCACCAGCAGCGACCTGTCCTCAGTGCGTCCTGTGAGGCCTGCTTTCCCTGCGCTGCCCCATTTCCCCATTCCCCTTCCTCTTCCCTGTCCCTTCCGGAATGAAGACCTCAGGGCTGGGGTGGGGCTGAGGAAGGACGTCAGCACCCAGACAGGGAAGGGCCTGGCAGCACCGAGCCAGGGGTGACGGGGTTGACAGGATGGCCATCGAAGCAGCACTGGTAGCCATGACAGACACAGGGATGGACCAGAAGATCAAGCACTAAACAGGATTGGCGAGCTCCGTATGTGAGGGGGTCATTTAAAATCAAGGGAGGAAAACGACTTGGAACAGAATCGGGGCACCCTGGCGGAGGGGGGTGTGGTGCTCTACTGGTCAGATCCGAGATCTGTAACTTGGAAATGAGAGGGAGAAACGGGCTGAATCAGGAGCTGTGGACTGTGCAAGGCACTTTGGTTTGGGTTACACACATTTTGCACTTAAAGGGAGCACAGGTAACTTTGAAATAACATCAATGATGTCATAACAGCTCTGCTACCAGGCTGGGGCTCTAGTGTGTGTGTGTGTGTGTGTGTGTGTGTGTGTGTGTGTGTGTTGGGGCTTGAGCTCACTCAGGGCCTGGGCACTGTAACTGAGCTCTTCAGCTTGATCAAGGCAAGAGGTCTACCACTTGAGCCACAGGGCCACTTCTGGTTTTCTGGTGGTTTATTGGAGATAAGAGTCTCATGGACTTTCCTGCCCAGGCTGGCTTTAAACTGCGATCCTCAAATCTCAGCCTCCCAAGTAGCTAGGATGACAGGCCTGAGCCACCAGAACCCTGCTCCTTTCTCCCTTCTGTTCAGACTCTGCGTCCACGCCAGTCCTGGCATGACTTTGCAGCAACGACGCTCATCTCTGCCCCTCAGGGGTGCTGCTTCAGCACGGTTCACTGTGTTCTCACTCAGGAGCTAGAAAACAGGTCATAGCAGCATTTCCCCTGCCTACTTTCCTCTATATTTCTCCAGTTTCTCAGCAACTGTGCCTTTCTAAACTTCTCTCCCTTTTCATCACCTAATCAGGATTCCTTCCTTCCCTTCCTTCCTTCCTTCCCTCCCTCCCTCCCTTCCTTCCTGCTTCCTTCCTTCCTTCCTCCCTCCCTGCCTCCCTCTCTCCTTCCCTTCTACCCACAATCCTTCATACAATGAAGGCTTATTGGAAAATGCTCAGAAGATCTTTCCTCCCTCCCTCCATGCTTTCCTCCTTCCTTCCTTCCTTCCTTCCTTCCTTCCTTCCTTCCTTCCTTCTTTCCTTCCTTCTTTGCTTCCTTCTTTCCTTCCTTCCTTCCTTGTGCTGGGATTCAGGGCCTTGAGTTCTCACTTAGCTTTTTCATTCAAACCTGATTTCAAACCATTTGGGCCACACTTCCACTTCCAGCTTTTTGCTGGTTGATTGAAAATAAGAGTCTCCTAGATCCATTTGTCTGGGATGGCTTTAAACCTTGGTCCTCAGATCTCAGCCTCCTGAGTAGCTGGGATTACAGGGGTGAGCCACCAGCGCCGGCTGTGTTTATCCATTCATCCATCCCTGGACACTTCGGTCATTTCCACTTCTCTAGGCTCTAGAAAGTAATGCTGCAGTGAACCAGGTGGGTGCACACACTCTCCGTTCATGTCCCTGCTTTCAGGCGTCTGGCTTTATATAGACCCAAGCTGAGTTCTCCATCATATGGTAGATATTCTATTTTTAAGCTTAAACTTTATATTTAAGCTTTTGAGGAAACGTGTGTGTGTGTGTGTGTGTGTGTGTGTGTTTAAATTTAATCTACCCGAATAAGGCATCTCCTTTTTATCCTCAAAGTTGAACACACCACTCTCAGGAGAAGAAACAACTTCCTTGAATTAATGAGTCACAGCCTTTCTCATTAAAGCAGAGATAAATGTCATTCAGTTCATTCCAGAAGGGCATTGTGCTCCAGGGAACAGAGGGAAAAGGCAGGATAAGGTTGTGCTGGGGAGATGGAGCTGTGGACGGGACGTCTGCGAGGAGGCAGAGGGGTGAGGGTGGGGAAGGCAGGAAGAGCCCCCAGCTCCAAGGCTCCCTGGAGGGGTCCTCAGTAGAGAATTGCCCCCCATGTTCCTGACCCCAACAGGCTTGACCCCTTGCAGCCTCTCCTCTATATTTCCTCCAGCCCGCGAGCCCCCCCCCCCCCCCGCCGCCAGCCCTTGGCTGTGTGGTGGAGCATGTGCTCCGATACTTGGCATCGATAGCCTCCGCTACCAGCAACCGCCGTCTGTGGCCCGGACAGCAGCTTCCTGCCGACCATGTTGACACACTTGGACCTATTGTATTTAAATGTCATTTTATTGTTAGATGAAGGTGTTGTGCAGAGGGCTTGCCATTTTCATAGGTCAGGTACGAGTACTCTTTTTGGCCCGTGTCACGCCTTCTATTTGGTCCAGCTTTATGAGGCCAGTGAAGCGGGGTCTGTGAGGGCATCTCCAGCCAGGCCCAGCAGAGAAGCCGGCACCAAGTGAGAAAGATGGCGCTGTGGGCAAAAGCAGAGACAGTAAGAGAAAATGAGGCCAGAGGTGAGGAGCAGGTCAGGAGGTCAAGTCAAGGTGTGTGGAGGCACAGGCAAGCACGGGTAGAGGGCGCCCCCACTTCTGCCTTCGCTGCTGGAAGAGGTGCAGGAGAGCCCAGGGTTAGAGATGGCTGTAATCCCCCACCCCCAAGCTCTTTGCTTCCAACAAAACCCTGTCTTCTTCCCGCTGTCACCTCAGCCAGCCAGTCAGGGATCCTTCGTCGTGGAGCTCTGGTTTGCTTTGTTCATCCCTACCCGCCTTGCCCTTATTCTGAAACAACGTCCCGACCCATGTAGCCTTCGCACACAGCTCCGCCCACCACTTGGCTTCTCTGATTAAGTGCAATTTAAATAATTGTATTTCTTTCCCCAAAGAGTGCATCTTCCATAGCGAATGTGTGGACTGCAGACAGACCAGTCTCAAAACAAAAAACAACAACAACAAACAAAGAAATTCAAGAAGC